GGGGGGGGGGGTCTGAATTGAGCGATCAATTATTAGACCCGGACGTCCCAACACTTGCTTCGCAAGACAAACTCAAGGTATCCCCTAAAGGGCTACCTTTCGTGATATATATATATATATATATTAGATGAATTTTTATACAGATCATTGAAATCATCTTTAATAAAATTGCTGAATCAATAGTTCAACAAAAGATCAAAATATACGTCAGTATAAACCCCAGGTGACAAAAGATTTTTGTGGGCAGCGTGTATCCGGCACCCAGCACCACCACCAGCGCCCCGCAGCACCACCACCAACACACAGGTTTCCCCTGCAAGCGCCCCACTGCAGCGGCACCAAGCCCCAAAGCCCGCACGGCAGCAGCACAGCACAAGCCCCAACGCGCGCACGGCCAAGCAACTGCAACAACCCTGCAATAGCGCCAGCGCCCAAATCCAAAGTGCTCATCGCAGAGACATTTGGCCAACGCAGTGCCATAGACATGGCAGCAACACCCTGCAACAGAGCTCTAAGGCACACACTGTCATGGACATCTGGATCTGGCAAGAACAGCCTGCAGCCGCACACTCCAGCGGCAGTGAAACCAACCCAAGCTCCATAGCATAGACCTTGGACAGCACCTGGCAGCGGCACCACACCCCACGTTGTTTGCTGGCAGCAGCACCCTGCAGTGGCCTGCAGCGACACAAACACGCAGGCACTTATTCCTGTCAAAGAACACCAACAGCAAAGAATTGCATTCCAGATTCCAAGTGTTTCCCCGAGATAGCTGCAGGCTATAGGGGTTCCAACTTCTCGATGGTGTGGCTCTTTTGGCCTTGCAGGCGCTGCTGCCGTGCTGATGCTGGCGCAGGTGCAGGCGCTGGCTGTGGATCGGCGTTTTGTTTTGCGGGCGCTGTTGCCGCACTGAAGCTGCTGCAGATGAACCGCTGCCGTGTTGACGCTGGCACAGCCACAGGCGCTGGTCCTGGATCGGCGTTTTGGTTTTGCAGGCGCTCCTGCCGGAGGTGCAAATGTTGGCTCTGGATCGGCATTTTGGTTTTGCCAGCGCTGCTGCCGTATGACGCTGGCGCTGGATCGGCGTTTTGTTTGGCCAGCGCTGGCGCCGTGCTGGCGCTGGTGCAGGCGTTTGCTGCCACGCTGGCGCTGGCTCTGGGTCGGCGTTTCGTTTTGCGGGCGGTGGTTTGCTGGTGCTGTTGCAGGCACTGGCGCTGGAACGGCGTTTCGTTTTGCATCACGCCAGGAATGACATCAGGTCACGCCAGGGATGACGTCATGTCATGCCAGGAACGACATCGCGTCATGCCAGGGATGACGTGCGGTCATATTGCGCGTGACACCGTGTTGCGCAGCAATGATCATCATGCCGCGCAGGCGGCTTGGGCTGGTCCTTGCCGATCGGTCCGTGCTGGGCGGGCGCATTCAGTTGCGCATATTGGTGGACTGGTCTGATGTTGCGTGCTGCAGTGACAGCCGTCCGTGGCGTGTCCTTTGAACCTATACACCCGCGATCTGGGGCCTATGCCGGTTTAATTGTCTGTCTCGCCTTCTGTGAACCAGCATGACCTGTTTGAAGTTGACCGTCTCCGCAGAACCATATGCAGCCTGCGGCGGCACCGGCGCCCAAGCTCAGCAGCAGCAGGCACCTCTGGGCACCGGCGCACAGGCTCAAAGCGCACACAGCCACATGCATCTAGCACGCTGACGCAAGCTCAAAAGCGCACACACAGGTACTAGGTTTGCCAGCCCCCAAACGCCCTCAACACCTGGCAGTAGCAGCGGAACCCTGCAGCGGAGCCAGCGTGCAGGTTCCAAAGCGCACACTGCCATAAGCGTCTGGCAGCAGCGCCCCACAGTGGCACTAGATTCCAAGCTCCAAAGACCTGCAGCGGCACCAGCGCCCAAGCTACAAAGCCCACGTGTCCAGGCACCTCTAAAGCGCACACAGGCGCCTATACTTGAAGTAAGAAACCCAATAGCTCCCTAAAGGGAAATATGGTGAACGTACAAATTGATTGTATAATCTTGCCAATATTGCTACGACTGTATTGCTTTATGACAGCTTCGATTTGAGACCTTCCTTTGCCATGACTGTCCAAGGACGGGCTCTGAAGAACGCATGCACTAGAACCAGCAAAGTACCAAGCAATAAACCACGCTGACCATGGTGGCAAAAGAAACAACTGCAAAGGCTGCCCACCTGCGCAAAAGCTGCTAGAAGACAGCGAAGCCACGTGCCACCTATGCTGCGAAAGCCTCCCCCCGCTGATTTGAATTGCATGATATGCACATCAAACATTTCAGGTGGAGCAAAAAGGGCAACAATCTCAGCTGCCACGCAAATACTGAAAAGGATTGGCCAAGCAGTAGCTGAGTGCAAAAGGGCACTGCATAATATGAGATTAATGTAGTTGCCTGCAAAGCGTGTCAAATTTGAGGGCACCCGCTGCGTCGGATGATCAGGCCGTCGCAAATCCCGCGCGAAGTCTGTCCAAGGCTGAGAGAGAGATATGCCGAATGGAGCACCTTGGATGGACAAATTGCCGGCGTCTGCGCGCAAGGAAGTGAGCTAGGAGTCGTGTGAGAAGGTGAGCGAAACAGAAAAAGAAGCAAAGGAGAAAGTACAGCTTGAATCCAAGACAAGGGACGGTGCAAATCACGAAGATTTATTGATTGCTACGCTATGCTTCTGAGACCCGTTTGCAGAGTCACAACACTGGGCTGAAGGAATGGCAGCTGATTTTTCATGTTGAGTGAAACTGTATAGCTTTCAAAGTGTAATGTTGACTTCCTAATAGTAAATGGCCCGTGAATAGTACTAAATCTTTTCAAAAATCAATTGTAAATGGCCCTCAAATAGTACTAAATGTTTTCTGGACCTTGATTTTCAGCTGCTTCCAGACCTTGATTCATCCAAGCTGATTCTGAGCTTTCAGCTGATTCCAAAACCTGATTATGTTGTGGTTTCCTTTACTCTGGAATTTTGATTTGGCTGCTGCATGTTTCTTTTAAATTTGCTTTTTTGGGCATTGCAATTTGCAACCTGAAATCAACCCACAAAGACCACCCCCCACAAGCAGCCCAAACCTTCAATTACTCAAGACCTCAAAAAGTACTAAACACTTTTTGGCTGGTTCTTTTGGTGGTTTCCTTTACAGGTCCTTTAGGTTTCCTTTTGGTTGAAAAGCTTTAGCTTTATTGAAGGGCATCCTTTCTGGATTTCTGATTTGGCTGCTGCATGTTCCTTTTAAAAATGCTTATTTGGGCATTGCAATTTCCAACCTGAAATCAACCCACAAAGACCACCCCCCACAAGCAGCCCAAACCTTCAATTACTCAAGACCTCAAATAGTACTAAACACTTTTTGGCTGGTTCTTTTTGTGGTTTCCTTTACAAGTCCTTTAGGTTTCCTTTCCTTTCCTGTCATTGTCCTTTCAATGTCCTTTCCTTTCCTTTCATTGTCCTTTCAATGTCCTTTCCTTTCCTTTCATTTCTTTTCCTTTCCTTCAATCTCCTTTCCTTTCCTTTCATGTCTAATTCAAATCAAGATTTTCTAGGATTTTTTCTGGAAATCACATTATTTGGGGCCCACACTTGATCAAGGGGGGGGTTATTAATAAGAGGCCCACATTACTATCCCCTTTTCGCACAGATTTCGCCCAACCCTCGTGTTGGCCATGGCCATATTCAACAAGCGTGCTTCCCTGTGATACGAGAGATGTCTTTAACGTCAAAGAACCGCTTGACACAGGAGAGTTAGTCAAACCACATTTTGCAAATCCCGCATTGGGGGTCTTCTTACACACGCGTGTCACACACGTGCCTGAACACTGTACAACCAGCTGGTCGGTTTCTCATGGTTCCTTTGGCGTATGCTTACAAAGGATACAATATTACTGAGAAGAAAGCGGGTGAACAACGAAGCCTCTTATATGTATATACCTGGAACCCATTTCGAAGTACCTATTGTTTTGGGTCTTGCCGGCAAATATGATGAGAGCTACAGAACAAAGCGTCAACAAGAGTCTGCCCACAAAAGAACGCAAATTCTCAAAAACATTACGTTAAAACTTAAAACGAAGCAGGCGTCTGTCGGAGGAAGTCGATCAACATAGGGCACGGATTACAAAAGATTGAGTACAAAAAGAAATTGGACTCCAGGCATGCTTGTTTCAACTTAAAATTTTCATGAACCTACCTCACGTTTAACATTTGTGAAATGGCCCAACTGTAGAGCTCTTTCACGGACGTTCAGACATTGAAGGCTTTTTGGTAAAGGATCTGACTTTGGCCCAGTGAGTGATCAATCTCAAGTTGCAAATCATCTCAGCAAGAGAACTCAAACAGTGTGTCTAAAGGTCAAGGTCTAGAGGTGTAGAAGAAGGTCTAGTGACGATGGCAGTGATGATGAATGTTGATTGTGGTGATGATGGTGGTGGTGGTGATGATGGTGGTGGTGGTGGGGGTGGAGGTGGTGGAGGTGGTGGTGGTGGTGATGTTGATGGTGATGGTGCTGCGCCTGCCACCTGCCACGAAGTCTGCACTTAAAGGTTCAAAAAGCACTGCGCCTGCCACGAAGTCTGCACATCAAGATTCAAATCGCGCAGCCCTGCCAAGGCAATCCGCAGCAAGAGCACTTCCAAAGACAACATCAAGATTCCAAGCGCAGCTTTCGCTCGCGACTTCCTCCGATTTCTGAAACGAGCCACATGTCCAAAAGTCACCACTCACTGTGCCTGCCACGAGAGCAGGGCACGCCGAAGACCACCACCATGTCCCAAGTACTGCGCCTGCCAGGAAGTTTATACATCGACACAAAGCCAGTCCGATCTCCTGCGCCTGTCACTTTCCCTTACGCCTGCCACAAGAAGAGATCACCAAGTCCCAAAACGCACACGGCGCCACAACGAGAGCGCAGTCTCGAAGAGCACCTGCGCGAGCCCACCAGATTCTGCAAGCCTGTGCAGTCGAAATGCACTTCGATAATCTCGAGCTGAATGAATGTACTGTAAGAGCAGCGAATTTGCCGGACACGCCGAAAAACACCTCCAATCAGACACCCGTCCTTAAATACTACCGTAAGAACCCCTAGTGTTACCACACTGTTTGGGGAAAAAGGAACAACACTGCTTGCAAGGCCGCATTGCCTTTGTGTTCCAACGCAAGACCCTGCTTCAAATACTTCCGAACACTTCCCATCTATTCCCTCTCGCACCTTCAAGAGTCAACTGTAGGAGCTGTGCACAACGCTGTTCCAAGATGCCCTCGTCATCGTCATCTAGTTTGGATTCAGAAACTGTGCGAAACAACCAGCAGCTCAAAAGCTTCTCGCGCCATGTGATAGCGACCTCCAACCAGGCCGCCATCAAGATCTTCAAGCTACGATGCTGCAATCAAACAAAACAGAAGGTCCCGATAACATCTCATAACCCAATTAAGCTTGCTACCCAAATGCAGGCAAGTAGGAAAGTTCGACATCGTGCAGTAGGGTGAGCCTCGGTTATGCCTCTAGCACTTCAAGAGCATGAGCATCAAAGGCTCATTGCATGACTTTGTTTGAAGCCCAGAACATTCCGGACAGGGCTTTGCTCATGGACACTATCAGCGAAGGAAGAATTTGTTTGTGTGCTTAGATTCAGCTCTGAAGTCGCGTCAAGCTGCAGGATAGATTTATTCGATACTGACTTCGACAGAACTGCAAAGGGTGTTTTCGCCAAACACGCTCGGGTCTGCGTAGTCTCTGGAGTCTGCAATTCACAAACGTCCAATCAGAGTCTCTGATGTCCATGTATGGGGATGAAATGGCTTTCAGGACCAAATGTAGCGGGTCTGCACGAAATCTGCCCTCAGTGAAGCCAAAACTTGTGTTTCGGCTACTAGTAGGATCCTGGACTCAAAAAGAGGTTCTTCCTGAACCCGATATACATAATGATGCTGCAAAGATGCTCAGTACGGATTTTGGACAACGGAAAGTCCCTGAAGCTTGTCAGCCTGGGATGTTGAAAGAAAACCGCAGCGAAGGACCGAGTGGCTTCCAGCACGGAATGAACCCTTTCGCTAAGTCTTCACTTTCTTCATGCATCTCGAGTCACACAAGCACCCATTTTCAAGCTTAAATATCTTAAATGTGGAATTGTGCTTCCAACAGCAGTGCTCTTGGCCCGCAACCTGGCAGCTTCTGGCAAGTTCACGTCGTCCTAGGCAGAAAGTCTTGTTGCAAACAATACAACATAGATTGGCAAGCTGCATGTGGTGTTCGTTCTTTTGTGAAACAGAAATATATCCCAGGTGCAAGTACAAAGCTGACGCGTGTTCCATGGTGTTTCTATGTTTTTCTGCTCGCCTTTTGTTGAGCCCTGTCCTGTGCATAGTAGAATTTGTCTGAGATGAGCCACAAGGGGAAGTCTCCATTCCTCACGGCGCTCACAAACAAAGAAATGGCAATGAGCACGGATTCCTCTTGCACAGAACACGTCACACACGTGTGCAGAGCAGGGGTTCCATGTCAGCACATTCGCCTGATTGGGGTCTTGGAGACAAATCGAAAAAGCAACAGATGGCAGCCACTCCAAGACCGATTCCTGATGCCCTCTTCCATGTGTCTGTCTGTCCGTTCGAGCTGTGGTGCAGCTAGCCAAGCAAATACACCGGAAAATAGCAAATTCAGCTGCCAGCATTTTACTTGACACCTTTCGCTCAACGCTTGTTTGGTGGTTTCTAAACTTTTCGACCCCAGACCGTGGTCGATGACGTTAGTAGCTAAAGCTGGGGTGTCTGTCTTTCTTAATTAAGTACGCGCTTACTTGATTAAGTCAGGGAGTAAGCTCCTAGCTACTTAAGCTCCTACATATGGACGCAGGATAGCTCACGCTTCTTCAAGGAAGCTCCTCCCGCGCGGGGAGGAGCTTCCTTGAAGAAGCGCTCGCACTAATGATTAGGTTCCTAGATGTTTAGGGAAACTTAGCTAAAGCTGGGGTCTCCGGCTCTTTTTTGTCCCAAATGAGAGCTGAGGTCTGCCGAGGGCAATCATCGGACAAGAAGTTCTTATCTTTGTCTGCACCTCAGCGGTTCGGGCTGAAAAAGAAAGAACTCAGGAAAGCCAAGGAGACGAGCACGTCATCGAACACATCATCAAGTCGTCATATGTCGTCATTAGGATTCGAGCACTGAACAAAAGGAGCCAACTCAGCAGCCTCTTGCCCAAACATCTCCCGCAGCTCCTGAGAAGGGAGCTGTGACTAGCAAAGGTTGATAAGAGGCGTCACAAATCAGTGCTGACCAGTGTTGCCACAAGGCAAAAGGCCGGTAGCTTTCACTGCAGTCTTCATTCATAATGTAAATGAACTCTCTCGCTCCTGACACTCCCTCGAGTACCAAGTGCAAAATATCTTGACATCTCGCTCCCTTGGCTCGAATCAGGACAAACAACAATGGAGGACACTATTATTCGATGCTTCGTTTCACTATAGTATTGCCACTTTACGATGGCGCTGCTGGATGCTAATGGCAAGGAGCCGAAGGCCAAAGGCACATTACATTGTCAAAAAATTGTCGCGGTGCTATGACCACAGCATGCTTTGCGCTCAAAACATCCTACAACAAAAAGGATCCTTTTCTCACCATCGAGTCTACAACATGTCCTGGTGCCAAACCATAGCACTTTTTTGGCCATCAAGGCACCTGAGGTGCTTCGCCAGGGCAACCTCCACTTCACTTGATTTAGTCCGCACCGGCGGGGAAGCGGGAGCATAGCGCTGGCTCAAATCATCCCACCTAAAGGTCATAACACTGCTCCCAAACTCCTCCCCAAACAGGTTCTCTTCACTTGTGCGCTTGTTGGTGCAAACGTTGTCTGCAATTTCTGTTGTGGAGTGTCCTTTGCAGGTTCCAGAGCTTTGATTGCCATTTGAAGGCAAAACCTCGGACCTCTCTGCAGCATAAGACGGTGGTTTGCCCACAAGCAGGGGAAGCAGCATTGAGATTGCAAGGATCCAAGGGCGCCTCGGCCAAGAAAATATGCTGACAGTTATTATTGCAGGAGGGGCACAATTCAAGGCAGGCCAATGGAGAGACTCGATGCGCAAGCAAATACTACGACCAAACATAACCGAAGGCCCTGCCTTCGCGTCTGGCTTTTGTTTCGCACGCTATCACGGTCGGCTCGAGCTTTGACATGGCTTTGGCCCCTGCCCAGGTCATGGAAATTGGAACAAGCATGCATGGCCGCATGGCCTGTCTAGTGATTAAGTGTGACTCACACTGGTCGGTGTGCGAAGTCTTCTGACACAATCATCTATATTATTTAAGAAGGGAGGGGGCGAAAGCCAGCCTCCGTAAGAAGACATCAATGTGGTGATGGGGTGCCGACAGCGCACTGGAGCTGCTGTCAAGCATGGGGAAATAGAAGGCAGAGGTGGAAAGTCTCGCATTGAGGGATGATATGACAGGCTCTGTATACACAAGGGTTCGATTAAGGCCCATTGGAGGTTATAGGATAGAGGTTGAGCCCATGCGTTCGAGCGCCTTTGCATTAGAAACATAGGGGCTTGTCCACTTGCGTCGTCACTTTCATGGGCAGAGTTGCGCTTTTAGACTTTTTAGATATGTTGTTGAAAGCTCAACGTTGAGGCTTGGGAAGCTCTTTGATGACTTTTATCCGCTGTTTTCTGCCTTCTTGTGCCTCTGCAACTCCCGATCGCAGTCGGCTCCGTGATTTTCGGTGGTCGCTCACCTGCTTCTGGCCACTTCTGCTTCGTGCCAGCGGCGCGTAGCGCGAGTGACCTTCTCGGATCGCAAGTCACCATAGCATTTGCGCTGTTGGTTCCTCACTTGTGCTTCGTGCCCGCGGCGCGAAGCGCAAGTGAGGCTCAAGCCTGGTACTGGGAGAAGTGAAGTGACGGACCGGGCTTAATAGAGAAATGAAATGACGGACCCGGCTTCGTAGAGAAGTGAAGTGACGGACCGGTTTAGCAGGACATTAATACGTGCACCCCCAGGCCCAAGCAACTCGAAGCTTGCCGCCTGCATTCTGTTCCCTCTCCTGTCCTCAACGGGTCCCGTCCACTCTTATGAACCACAAGAAAGCAAAGTGTTGAGGGTCCAAAGAGCCTCCTGAGCCCCTCACGATGCCAATGATGCACTCTTCGGCGTCAATTACATCACTTGCATCACAACACCCCAAAAACAATACATGTTCACTGCTTTTCAGACCACCTCTTTTTTTCGTTCACCCCCACCAGGCTCTGGGTTCGTCCTACCCGAACTGGCCAGCTAGGTAACCACCGATCCCCCACACCCCCTTTGCTCGCTTCGTTCCCCCATCGACAACTCCAGCCTAGCCTATCAGCTGGCTTTCGTAATGAAAGGGAATGAACGTCCTGTATTCACAAGCACTCCTGCTGGCAAGTGCTGCCCACTTTGAAGGAGCTCGAGCAATAAACCGTAGAAAAAATTGCATTCGGTCTGTGTGTACCTGGCCTGGGTTTCTTGCAGTAGCCCAAAGCAGCGGACAAGACCTCATAAGCAAACAAGGTTGGCCGCTCATCCTCTTTCGACCCAACTGTAAACGATGTTGATGGAGGATGTTGAGTGCCAGAACATCATTGCCCCTTGGAGACACCTTCTCCAATCAATGCCGCAATGCCCCTTCTTGCAACCTTGACGCAGGCACTGCTGTCCAACCCAGGACCCGCTGAGGTTTCTTGCCTTGCAACAGTGAAACTATATAGCATACAGGTAGCACTCTCATCTCAGGTGCCACTCCTTCCTTCAACTCTGTGTAGTAAATAGCCTCACGTTGTATCGCCATGATAATCACTGTAAAGCAAAGCCTAGCTTAAGCTGGCCAAGGGAGCCTGCCTCTGTTGGCAACTGCAGGAGAGCCCAGGGAAGCATTCGACACTTTCAACACTGGAGAACTTCGGAGCGAGACCAGCATCGCTGCGAGTCCCCGAGGTAATGTCAGAATCTGACTTGACTTGTGTTGAATGGTTCTATTGAGTAACTTGCTTGATTGCGTGACATTGTCGAGTTCGAGGCACTCAATTCTTCAAGACCTTGCATCTAGCGGAATCTAGCGGATGTAGCAGCATGGTGGAAGCTGGATGCAGGAGGAAACTGTCTATTAAGTTCTGACTGCGCTACTCAACTTATATCTGTAGACAAAGGAGCCAACAAAAATGCGGCACTACACCAGGAAACAAAAAGAACAGAGAACAGGAAAACAGGCATCGTTGTTGCCATTAATTACTGTAGTACCAACCACTGTGAGGGGACTTGGCTTTCGGGTTTGGAGCTTCGTCTGGTCCGTGAAGTGGCCAGGGCACAGAAACACGTTTTGCTGGAGGGAGTTGTAGATTGACCTTTTGCAGGCTGGGGCATTGCGTCCAAGTGTGAAACACTCCTAGGGACTACCC